CTGAACTTCACAAAAAAGGGGGATAAAGATGAATATCCATTTTGTATCCGTGTATTCAAAATGGTTAGGATAGATATATAGTTACATTCTCTTAATGAATAGAGGGATTTGTTCTAATAGTGTTTGTAAGTAGGATATCATGTCCACATCTTGTACAGCAATCAACCACTAGAAGAATGTATGCAATGTGTTAATTATTGAAACTGTCCTACCAATTTGGTTTGAAACTCTCTCATTGCTATTTTTTCTCAATAAAATTATGGGGAAAAAATTTAAAAAATGAAAAAAACTTCCAATCTACCACTTCCAGTGCAATCCATGATGAGAATAAAGATACTAAAGCATATTTATAGTTATGGGGAGCCAAGGGGTCCTAAGTCCAGCCATGGTGATGGGCATCTGGAACAAAGGCCACAAGCCAGGGCTGAACCCAGGTTTTATTCAGTCATGAAGGACCGAGTGGCTTGAGGATGAGTGACTGCGAATGGCAGTACTCATGGTGAGTACTATGAGCTGGGCTAGGTGGGAGGCCTGTATTTACCTCTGCGATATGCAGAGAGAAGGCTATGCAGAGAGTACCCTGCATTACACAGTTGAGATAGTAGCTAATGTTCTGGGGTCCAGTGCTTCCTCTCTGATGTGAAATCTCTCAAGCCCGGAAATCATAGCCTCTATCTTGAGGCTCAATCCCAGCCGACAGTGTGGAGCATTGGCTCTTTGTCCTGTCTCAACCCAGCTCGTATTAAAGAGGAGAAGGTGGTGGTTACTGCAGAAACACAGGTGCCATTTTCAAAGACTACCACCAGCACCTTGGCTAGACCAGTATTCATTGCATAAAGCCAGTTGGAGGGATAAGGAAAAGTCCTAGCCAGCTCTGTACATGTCAATACATGGAAATAGGGTCAGGCACAGCCATAATGGAGAAAATTGTTCTTTCAAGGAGAGTCAACCATGTGGTCCTCCACAGTAAATTACATAGAAATATATCTATATCTATCTATATACTATTAAATTGATGAATACAAAAAACAAATAAACATACCCTCTTCTGATGAATAGGAAGAGGGGAGAGCTAGCAGCTTTGGACTGGTATGAGCAAAACTCTTACATGTGCTGCAGCAGTGAACGCTTTGTGCAACACCAGAAGCTGTCACGCATGCCTGGAGATCCAAGGGTGTGTCCCCTTGATGGAACCAGTCCCTCGTGACACCAAAAATGGCACCAAACTCTGTCCTAGTACAGCAACAGTAGCTCATTTAATTCTTACACTAACCAAGAAGTAAGTTATCCCTAGGTGGATTGCAATCTTCTTGTGACAGATGAGAAAACACAGCCCCGTCGCGATTGAGTAACTTACCTAGGGCCACAGAGGCAGCGCTGGAGTTGGCTGCAGGTGTGCACTCCTGTAATCCCAGCACTTGGAGACTGAGGCAGGATTGCCAGGTTCAATCCTAGTCTGGGTAATTCAGTGAAGGAATGAAACCCTGTCTCAATAAAAATAAAGAGCTGGGATGTAGCTCGGTGGTAGGGCTCCCTTAGGTTCAATCCTCAGTTAAAAGAAAGAAAAGAAAGCGATAACCCTAAAATCCTGAGGCGGTGCTCAGATTTGAGCTCAGTCTCTGAGCAGATGGTGCCCACAAGGAGCAGCGCAGCCTTCAGGATGTGCTCAGGGTACCTAAGAAGGCAGCAGAGCTCAGTGCCCCTCATCGGGTGCCAACTCACACGATTATTCAGTCTTTCTCACTGTGCTAACAAGTTGTCTGTGCGATCTGTCGCCTTTCGTGGGGCCAGAAATGAGTTTTTAATTCCCCAAAGCAGGTAAGAAAACAGAGCCTCAGAGAGTTCATGGCAGTAAGTGGTGGGGTTGGGGCTTCATGCAGGTTGTCTGGCCCTCTCTACCCCCTGTGTAATGCTCTCGCCATTCTGTGACTTGTACCACTGCCCCCATTCTCTCCTATTTGCGCACTTTACCCCATCTCTCACCCTCAGTCTTGCTCTCACTCTGAGTATAGTGGCTAAGAACGTAGACTCTGGAGCCAAATCATGTGGGTTCAAATAGTTCTCTAGGTCTCAGTTGATCCATCTGTAATATGGGGTAAGAATAGTGTTTACCTCAATGGTTTATGATGAAAAATTCAGTAGATGCATATAATGTAATGCATAGGACAATGCCTTGCACACACAAGCACTGTATACATTTGTGTTATCTTTTTTTTTTTTTTCTGTACCAGGGATCAAACTCAGGACCTTCCACTTGCCAGGCAGGGACTTACGCCGCTGAGCTATATCCCCAGTCCTTGTGTTGTTATCTTTATGACTGACTGTGGCACCTCCTATTCCTCTTCTCTTCTTCCTCTTTAGGACCCTTTCTGGAAAAACATAGTCCTGGGATTTCGGAAGCTGACTCCCAGAGAGCTGGATGTGTTCCCTGACTATAGGTGAGGTTATTGTCATGTACAGAAGGGCTGAGGTGCCGTAATTCAGACAGAACTGCCCAGAAGGCAAAGGACAATGGGGACACCAAATTTCCTGTCCCATCCAGCCCTGGGGCCCTGGGAATCCTGGGGTCTATCCATCCGAGTGGGCTTTGGGCTGGGGAAGGGACAGAAGATATGAAATCCCAGATCTCAAGCTCAGAGGTCCCATGGATTAGTCAGCTTTGCATCACTGTAACAAAATACCAGACAAAGTACCTACTTGTGAAGTAAAGAGAATAAGGAGAGGTTTGTTTGGGCTCATAGTTGTGGAAGTTCAAGTCCAAAGTCAGACATCTGCATAGGATTGGGTCACTGGCAAGAGTGGTACATCATGGCAGGAGTGTGTGAAAGTTTAGACTGCAGACCAGGAAGCTGTGAGAGAGGATGGGAGGGAAGCACCCCCCAGTGGCCTGATGACCTCCCATTAGGTCCCACTGCCTAAGGATTCTACCACTTCCCAATATTGGTACATGGGAGGACCATGCCTTTATATGTGGACCCCGCTTTCCTCCCCTACCACGAACACTACCCCGTGGTCCTGATAGAGCACACATGGTATAGGGATGATATCTGGACCTCCAAATAATATAAGGGAAATATCATAATCTCAACCTGCTGGATGTCCAAAATATCAAGTTTGTGTGCTCTAAAACCAAGGAATGAATTCTGGGAACAATGGAGGTTAAGAGTTTGGAAGAATTTATTGAGACAAAGGTGGTTTCTGTCTAAAACAGACAAAAGAGAAACTGGAAAGTGGGGTTCAAGGTGGGACAAAACTATAGCCAACTAAAAAGATTACAATTATGGTTGCCAGTGGAAAAATCACCAGGTGGGTATGGGGTGGGACAAAACTATTGGTGAACCAATAAGATTACAACAAGTATAATCGCTTAGATAATATTGATCAAGAGGAAACAAAGAGGGAAGCGAGCCATAGAGCAAGCGTACAAGGAGCAAACTAGGATTTTCCTGGAAGGAGTGGGCTAGGGAGGTTTTGGGTCCCTGCCCAAGGTGACTCAGGCCTAATTAGGATACCAGTGACTGCTGCTCATCCCAGGGGCATAGTTCTTCCCCCTTTTTTTGAAGCCTGGTGTTCAGCGAATGTGTCACCCAGCTACAATTGTCTTCTGTACAGAGGGCCCAGTTCCGTCTAACTGCCTGTAATATGTACAACTACCTTAGCTTTCTACCATAGTTCTTGGTCTAGCTTGTGGGGACGTATAGAGCAGTACTGGTCCCCTCTCCACATGGCAGCTGATTGTAACCTCTGGTGTTCCCTTTTGTCTGCTGTGACCCTAGCTACGGCTGGTTCCACACAAGCCTGATTATAGAGGGGAAGAGCTACCTGGAGTGGCTGACTGAGAGGTAAGCTTTTGAGGTTCAGTGTGAGGAAGACACCTCCCAGGGGCTATGCTGTAGAAGGGTCACGTCATGGCCTTTTGTTCCTTTTGCCCAGCCCCTAGGATTGAAGAAACCCCTTAGGTGAGGCATGGAGCTATCCTTGCTCTTGATCTCCACTGTGCACCAAGGCTGTACTTCTTTCACCTGGCTGGATTTTGGAGCCCCATGAGGAGCTTCTTGTTATATTTATTAGCAACCTCACTAAAATTCCTAATGTTTGTATCATGGTTTTATTTATTTATTTTTTATGTGTTTGGTTGTTGCAAGGTCTCACTGTGCAGTTCAGACTCATGGTGGGCCTCCTGTTTTCAGCCTCCCTAGCCCTGGGATTACAGGCATGCACCACCACACCCAGACTCTGGCTGGCTCAGCCCACTCTGGGGACAGGGCCAGAGTGACATGTGGTGCTGGGAATGGAACCATGATCCCTGCGCTTGCTTAAGCTTGCCTAGGCAAGCACTTTAGTATACTGAGCTATCTTGCTGGTCTGTATCATTGTTTTAAATGGGCTCACTTAAAATTTCTGGATTATTTACATTGTTTGCAAAACATAGTCATCCTTTATTTTTCTCTGTCTCTCTTTTCTTCTCTAATTACTTTGGCCAGTATCCCTAGAATAATAATAACTCATCAGGTAAAAATGGATGTCCTTGTCTTGTTCCTGACATTAATAGAAATCTCATCATGGTGCAAATTGAAAAACACTAGCTTGAGGGAGATTTTGACATTTATAGTCATATACAGTCAGTCATATTGAGGAAGATTGCATATATTTTCTGTATTTTACTACTTTAGTTTTTTTGTTTTGTTTTGTTTTGTTTTTTTTTAAATATGGAATGAAACAGGCATGGTGGCACAGGCCTGTTATCCCAGCACTGGGGAGGCTGAAATCAGGAGGACTGCTACATACCAAAACAAAGGAATGAATAGTAGTTTTTGTCCAGTGATTAGGGAAGACATTTTAAAATATAAATTTTATAATTCTGCTTTATACTTAATGAATTAGAATCCCCTGAGAAAGTATTCATTCAGAATTTTGTAATTTAAGAAGCTCCCTGGGTGATTCTAGAGTCAAAGAGGCTTAAAAATTGCTGTACTGATATGATTATTTCTCCTAATAAGTGTGGGACGCTCAAGGCTCCGATCAAGTTCTCCAGGATAAAATGTTACCAACTTTTTTTGAGGAAATTTCTGGTTTAGGGCTGGGGAGATAGCTTGGTAGAATAAGTGCTTACCTGATAAGTGCAGGGTCCTGAATTCAATTCCTGGTACCACAGGAAAAAAAAAAAAAAAGAAAAAGAAAGAAGAAAGAAAAGAAAAGAAAAGAAAAGAAAAGAAAAGAGGTCGGGGAGATGGCTCAGTGGAATAAGCGCTTCCCTGGCAAGTGCAAGGGCCTGAGTTCAATCCCCAGATCCACAAAAAAAAAAAAAAAGAAAGAAAGAAAAGAAAAGAAATTTCTAGATTAGATATTATACTTGAGTTTATCTATGTCAGCTTACTTCCTAGTCCTTAAATTTTTTCTTCTTTGTTTCTTTTCTTTCATTCTTTTTCATTGTTTAGTAATAAGAATTGAACTCGGCCTTTGCAATGGGCTACTTTCCCAACCCCCCTTTTATTTATTTATTTATTTATTTATTTATCTGTATTTTAGGGAAAGGTCTACAGGGTGTTCAGGGACTCACTACTAGATCAGACTCCTATTAATTCTATTTACAGCCTCCCTAGTGCTGGGATTACAGGTGTGCACCACCACGCCCAGTCTCAGTTGCCATCTCAGTGTGCCCCGGGGTGGGGCCAGCACAGCAGGCCCAGAGCCAACCCATCTTTTAAATTTTTTTTTTCACATGTTGAGACAGGATCTCATCGAGTCATTGAGTTGCCCAGGCTGAGCTCCAACTTGCTATACTCCTGCCTCAGCCTCCGAGAGCTGGGACTGCAGGTGTGCGCCACCGCACCCCTCTTGTTTTTACTATATTTTCGATATTGGCAGATACTTTTCCTTTGGGACGTTTGTTTTATAGTGTTGAGGTCTGAAGTCAGCCTTGCACCTGCTCGCTAGGCAGGCACTCCCCACTGGGCCACAGCTCCAGCCCTCCTTGTGGACATTGAAGGAAGGGATGATGGCGGCGGGGAACCCTGGAACTCCAGCACTGGGGGAGGGTGTGTGTGAGAGACAGGGAATCCCCACTAATTCAAGGCCAGCCTGGCCTACGTAGCAAGACCTTGTCCCCCTTACCCCAAAAAGGAAGGCTGGGTGTCCCCAGTCCACCTCCTCCTCAACCTGGCTTCTGACCAAGGAGCATGTGGCATTGGTCCACCCCTGCCCCTCCTCCGCCACAGGCCTGATCCCCCTTGACATTATAGGGCTCTGTGCTGATTGCTGACAGGAGAAAGTACAGAGAGGATCTCAGCCCCTCGCTGAATGACCTTTAGAAAGATCCTGCTCTATTTGCCCAGTGAGAAGCGGGGCTATTTCAGAGGACCTCACTGCCTCAGGGACATTCGTGGACCTCTAGTCAGCCAGGTGCTCTTCACTTGATTTAATGACTTAGCCAGTTTCTCAAGGAGTATCCAGCAGAACTGGCATCCTCAGGAAGGCCCCTCGTGTCACTCTAGGAGGGAAGGGGTAAGAACTGGATTGAGGCTTTTGATGTATCTGTCTATCCCAGGTTAACTGAGAGGGGAGTAAAATTCTTCCAGCGGAAGGTGGAGTCTTTGGAGGAGGTGAGTGGCAGGGCTGGGAGTGGATGGCTGCGGTTGGGAGAAGACCTCTGTGTCCAGCTGCTGGGTTGGTGGCCTTTTTCATGCCCAGCATCTCCCAGGACTCAGACATCCAGAGGGAGGTGGTATCTGTCTTGTGCTGGTTATAGGAGCAAAGGAGCAATAAAATCACAGCTGCCATAAGAGTTCATGTAGTTGGATAGTGTTGGCACATATCTGTAATCCCAGCACTTGGGAGGCTGAGGCAAGAGGATTGTTGCAAGTTCGAGGCCAGCCTGAGCTACAAAGTGAGTTCAAGGCCAGCCTGAACTACATCATGAGACCCTGCCTCAAAAAAAGAAAAAAGGGTTGAGGATATAGCTCAGCAGTGCAGCACCTGCCTGGCAAGTGTGAGGGCCTGAGTTTTACTCCCGGTATTCAAAAAGAAAATAGTAAAAAAAAAGGGGGGGGGGCACTAATTCGTATCTGTGCCTTAGTGCGTTTCAGGGCTGGAGAGCCAGCTGCTTACCTCTAGTAACAGCTGAGCTTCACTCCCAAGGCCCAGATGCATGAATGCTTCCTATTGACATCTGGTTTGATGTCTCTGGGAAGTCCAGGCCCTGAGCTAGGACACTGAACAGTGTCGCCCTATCATCATGAAGAAAGATGGGACCAGCTACCACGCTCAAGCAATGGGCTGGGTATGGAGACCTTGACTGTAAGATGCTATTCACCCCCAGCACTCATGGAGCACCTTGTACTCCTTAGTGAGGACCTGCCTGTGCTTGGCTGGCCCTGATGGACATCTGAGATCCATGGCTGACTGTAACTCAAGCCTGCCTGTCAAACACCAGGCTTTTAGAACAGCAACAGTGCCTTGTGATTGTGTGTTGTGGATTGACCTGGGATCAGGTCACCCTTGTGATCAGGATGGGCTGCGCGGGGTGGGGTGGGGGCTCCTCACATTGCATCATTGATTCACAGGTGTCCTTCATATGGACAGAGCTTGAGCTTCCAGCAGATCTACAGATGCCTTGGCAGGAGGCAAAGGAATTAAATGAAAAGTGGTCAGAAGGAGGAAAAGAGCAATTTTGATTTTCTTTCTGGCTTCTTCAAGGTTCCCAGGTCTCCTCATCCATAATACTGGCTTTTATGCCCAGAGTTGCCTGAGACCCTCATAGCAGCCTGTGAGCAAGCATTTCCTGCCCTCTTCTGCAACTGGGCAGCTGAGTCCCATGGAAGTAAAGGAGCATGTCTGGTCACATATTGGGAAAATGAGAAAGTGGAGATTTGGAACCAGTTTCTTCTGGTTTCATCCCTGTATCCCTTGTCACTGTTCCATAGGGAGTAGACAGCCATAGAGTAGGAGCTGAGAAACAAGAGGGGCCAAGGAGCAACAGGGTCCTCATTACCTCCCACCCCTTTTCCCTGTTTGTTGCTTCTAGGTGGCCAGAGGAGGGGTGGATGTGATTATCAACTGCACTGGGGTGTGGGCTGGGGCGCTGCAGCCAGACCCACTGCTGCAGCCAGGCCGGGGCCAGATCATTAAGGTGAGTGTGGGCTGAGATCTCCAGCTGCTGTGTGTGCTGGCTTCTCTCAAAAGCCAGGTGGCCAGTTGGGTAAATCCACTGGAGTAACCCACACTTTGGGGGTTTGCCAACATCAGGAATCAAGAACCAACCTGCCCTGCCATCCCATGCATTGTCTTTCGGGATTTGGTTTTGCTCCTATTCCTGTTCCTGTCCTCTCCCTTCCTCCCCCTTTTCCTTCTCCTCCCCACTTCTTTTTTGGCAGCACTCAAGCTTGAACCCAGGGCCATTTTGAGACAGGGTATTGCTAAGTTGCTCAGGGTGGGCTCAGGCTTGTGCTCCTCCTGCCTCAGCCTTCAGGGAGCTGGGGTCACAAGCCTGAACCAGCACTGGGATTTTCTCTTGAGGTCAAAGCATGTGTGGCTATATATGTTCCTAGGTAGGACCCACTCCTATGTCTGCATTGTGGTAAAAATATCAAACATTTAGGGACTTTGCTAAGTGCCAGGCATACACTTACACACTGAATTGTGTTAATTAATTTGCCACCCCCTTTGAGATGTGTACTATCATAATGCCATTGCCACTCTGCAGAGGGAGAATCCAAGGCACAAAGGAGTCAAGTTACATGCACACAAATTCACACTGTAGTACCTGGTGGGCCTGGGATTAGAAACCAGGCAACCTGGTTTAAAAGGCTGGGGCTATGACTGTTGTGCCCTGCTGCTTCTCACTCTGGTGTGTGTAAGTGCACGCCTATTTGTGGTCACATATGTATGCATGTGCCTATGTGAGTGTGCACATGTGCATTCATAGGTGTGTAGGTGGACACCGATATGAGCTAATGTAGGTAGACACTGACCTGTATGTGTGCACTCTCCAGGCTTTTGTAGGGACACAGGGCTGAGGATGCGCAGTGCTTTAGGAAGCAGGGGTAACTCTCGATCAGGGTGGGTCTTCCTGCCAAAGGCCAGTGATCGGGTGCACGCTTGGGCCAGAGAGGTCACAAGAGGGCCGAGGCACTGGCCTGGCCTCTCTTGTTAGAACTGCTGGCCATGGGGGAGCAAGGTCAAGGGCAGCACACCCATCTAGCTACCCTGATGAGACTTCCCTGTCCTGAACCAACAGGTGAATGCTCCCTGGATAAAGCACTTCATTGTCACCCATAATCTCAAGAGTGGCATCTACACATCCCCATACATCATCCCAGGGTAAGAACCTGATTTCTCTAGTGCAAATGAGAGGGCGCCTTCATGCCTCTGTAAGTTCCTACTGCCCACTTGCTTAGTGTCTGCTGTTACTGATAGTGTCATTACTAGTGTCCCAGTGGTAACATCACTGATAGTGTCATCTCCACCAGTACCATCCATCACTGTCACTCCTAATGTTTTATGACTCCCAGAGTTTGGATAACTAAATCCTTGGGGAGGTAGGACTCAGCCTTGATTAGTATCTATGTTGAATATCCTTTTGGGTGGCAGTAGTGGTGACACAGGGATAACCACAGATGGTGTAAGTGACCTCTGGTGTGGGAATGGGGACCAGGGTGAATAGTGATGGTAACCGTACTGGAGGGGGAGGTAATACGGATGAAGACAGTGGAAGCTGGATGGGATGACAGTATTGTTGGCAGTGGAATGGTGGTAGATCCCATTATCTTGGATAGGGAAGACAACAAAGATGGGGAGTTGACTGGCAGAAGGATGATAAAGTGGTGCCATTGGTGCAGATGATATGGGGGACAGGGAGGAGATCAACACTGTCATGGGTCCTGAGAGGGCATGGGAATGATGGGTGGTACTGGTGGAGGTGACACTGTCAGTGAGGCTAACATTGTGGCAGTTAATAGGGTGGCAGAGATGGCAACCTCAGAGCCAGTTTTAAGGAAGTGTCTGCGATGACTATCTCAGTGGTGAGGTACTAGTGTGGTGGAGATGACAATATCAATGGTGATACTCCCAGTGGAGACCAAAAGGATGAATGGAGCTGCTGCCGATGACATATTCAGTCATGGTGAAGATGATGATCTAGATGGTGGGGACAGAACGGCGAGTGGGGTCAGCAGTGAGGACAGTGGAACTGAGGTGGCGATCACAGCAATAGTAGCAGAGTGGTAATGTCGATAGTGGTGATGACTTATTGCAGATGGTGGTAAAGGTTAGCAAGGGAGAGCATGGTGACAGCCATCATTCACCCCAAAGGCTTCCTTTTTCTTGACCCACCTCATGTTCATCTAGGATGCAGACAGTTACTCTTGGAGGCATCAACCAGCTGGGGAACTGGAGTGAGATAAATAGTACCCAGGACCACAACACCATTTGGGAAGGCTGCTGCAGACTGGAGCCCACATTGAAGGTAAGGTGGAGAGGGGGACAAGTGTCCCAGACTGGTGACCCATGAGCTTGACCATAGATTCCCTGGAGGATGGGAAGATACCACCACTGGGATCAGTGGGCAATGAATTCCATCAAGAGACCATGGGGAAAAAAAGAGAGAAGAGAGAGACCATGGAATACACCAGAATGTGACCATAGACCCAGAAATCCTTTCTAAGGATTCAAACAGTCTGACTGGGGATAGCTAAGAATTGCTGTCCCCAGAGGTGTTAGCTCCAAAAAACTTCTCTCTCCTCAAGGTGAAGTCCTAGTAGCAGAAATCTCAGGTTTCATGTTTGCCTACTGTGGCGATGCGCACAGATGGTGATGAGGCTGGGGTGGAGGCGGAGCTTGGTGAGAATGGTGGTGAAAATGATGGCGGTGGTGAGGTAGTGGCCATGGGTAATACTGTGGCAGCAGCTGATGGGGGGGTGGTGGGGTGTTGATGCAGATGGAGTGGTTGACACAATCGGTGTTAGTCATGATGGTAGCCAGTGAATGTGGTAGCCGGTGGAGGTGGTGATGACGGCCGGGATGATTAATTAGAGTGACTCTGATGGTATTGGTGCAGATTGTAAAGAGAGTAGGAAAGCTAACTTGCTGCCACCTAACAATGGCAACAGAAAAAAAAAAAGAAATCCAGTGATGAGTTGCCAGCATCTTTCTTTCCAGAATGCAAGAATTGCTGGTGAGCATACTGGCTTCCGGCCAGTGCGTCCCCAGCTCCGACTGGAAAGGGATCAGCTTCGTGTGGGATCTGCAAGCACTGAGGTACGCTCTCCTGGCAGGGAAAGCACTGCCCTCCCTGACTCCTGCGGTGACTCTGCCATTTCCAGGGACATTTCCGCACAGTCTAAGGGCAGGGCATTCGGTAGCTAATGTCCTTCTCTCTACAAACAGGGAAACTGAAGCTTCAGGATGCACAAGGTTACACAGAGGGCAATGTCTTGGTTTGCTACAGTCTGTAGCTCAGTAGAAGGAAAGCAGGAGCTTTGAGTCTGAAAAGCATCACACATCTGTCCTGCAGCAAACCCAGAACATGACTGACCCTCCTGAATCCCTGCGGCTCGCTGGGACAGGGGCAGTGCTTCCTCATGTCTCCTATGAGGAAACCAGAATTTTGCAAGTATGTGCCTAAGCCAGACTGCTGCCGAGAGGCAGGCCTGGGATGTGCTTTGAACTTGATTCCAGCACTATTTCCCAGAGGTCCATTTTGTGGCTACCTCACTGACTCTGTGGGGGTCCCCTCTCCTGGGCTGGGGGCTGGGCTGCTGAAGCTAGGAGGGTTGTGCTGGGCTGAAGGCTCTGACCAGAGTAGGTAGTGGCTGGGTGCCCACCTGGAGAGCTACCTTCCTACTGGAGTCATCCTTCCTCTCTTATTCAAATATACAGGGTGTGTGTGTGTGTGTGTGTGTGTGTGTGTGTGTGTGTGTGTGTAAGGGCTGTGCATGTGCAGGATTGGGAAATGTGGATAAAGAAGTCATGTGTGGGGGCCAGGGAGATGGCTCAGTAGAATAAGTGCTTCCCTGGCAAGCGCAAGGGCCTGAGTTCAATCCCCGGTTCTGCAAAAAAGAAAAAAGAAAGAAAAGAAGTCATGTGTGAGTGGATATATAGAAAGTTGCACATATGGATATAGAGGTCATGTGTGTTCAGAAAGTTGTGTGTGTGTGTGTAGAGGTGTGCATATGTGTGTGTACACATGAAGGTTTTTGTGTGTATATATGGAGGGAGAGTCACGCACGGAGTTTAATTTGCTACTGATGGCTTCAGTTTCAACAAAGGCCCTGAGATCTCGCTTGGGCTCCCCTGATGACCATTACCCAGAGTCCTTGAGCTTTCTTTCCTGGTGGCTGGAGGTTTATCAACATAGAGGGTTCATCTGTCCTGAGTGAGATGGGAATGAGGATAGCAACTCAGGGAACTTCATACGTGGAGAAACCTCTGACCTCAAGGTCTAGATGTGACTGCACCTTCTCCATGCAGTGTGAGAGCAGTCCCTTCTTCAGTCAGAAGGCAGGAGACCAGGTGTTGTCCTCCAGATTTGTGAATGATATCCAGGGGCCCCATGTTCCATCAAATTGCCAAGAGCAGCTCCTGGCATCTGGCTTTGCCCAGGGTTCTTTAGACACTCCCAGGTCTCCCAAGCTATAAGCCTTCCTTGGCCCCTTCTGCGGCCCCTCTTGAACCTGGTTTCTCTTGCCCCTTCCAGGTCATCCACAACTATGGCCATGGAGGTTACGGGCTCACAATTCACTGGGGCTGTGCTCTGGAGGCTGCTAATCTGTTTGGGAAAATTCTGGAAGAAAAGGAATTGTACCGGATGCCACCATCCCACCTCTGAGGAATCCAGTGACCAGCAGTGTCCCTGCAAGGATTCCCCATCCCCCCACCAACTAATCAGTGTGCCCCCCTAGAAGCCTGTGTGTGCCCCCTGCCCCTAATTCTGCTTCTTTCTACAAATGTGCTTGAAGGAAGAGGAAGCCACAAGGTCTGTCCCTAGAGGGACATCCAGCCCCACCTGCAGCCCCATGAGTGCTGAGGTCACCCTCAGTCTCTGGGCCTGACACCGTGAGGAACAGTCCTCAGAAGAAAGGAAAACTCAGCGAATCAAGGAGGCAGCTTCCCAAAGGCACAGAAATTAAAGATAATTACTTGACTGTAAGTAATACGAACATATTAAAGTTTCTGAAAAGGCCTGTAGCAAAGACTTACCTCGTGTTCTTTTACATCTACCTCGCTATGGAAAACTTTTGTCCAGAACATTCATAAGTGCCCAGGAACCCACTAGGAGAAGTGCCATAGCAGATGTCCCGTAGGATGTTAGAGGCAGAGCTGGGGTATGGAAGAGGCAAGGTGAGAGGTAAAGTCCTGAACTGCTAATACATGATGCCTGCTCCACATCCGGGACTTCAGATGGCACCAGCTGTCCACAGAGTGCCCCTGCAGGTTCCAGGGAGCCATTGTGGGGCCAGTAGAAGGATTATCCCACAAGGAACCCCGTGCTAATCTAAGTTCACTGTGTATACTCCTTATGGAGAATTCACACCTTTCTTCCTTTCTGTATGGAATCCTTTGAGGTAACAATCTCCTAGATATTTTTTAAAGGCTTAAATGAGCCTGTATTAGTTAGAGTTCTCTATGACAGAACCAATAGGATGGATAGACAGGTGGATGGATAGATGATTGATAGATAGATAGATAGATAGATAGATAGATAGATAGATAGATAGACTGACAGAAAGGTGACTGGTTTATTAGGGGGACTGGCTGGCCTAGAGGCTGAGAAGTCCTGTGTCAGGCCGAGCTGGAGGTTTGGGAGCATGTTTCAGTCTCACTCTGAAATCTTTTGCACAAGAGAAGCTAATGTTGTAACTGTCATTTGAGTCCAACAGTTTCAAGAAACTGGGGTTCCCCTTGTGTCAGTCCTGAAGTTTAAAGGCCATAAATTCTGCTGTCTAAGGATAAGAGAAAAAGAATATCGCAGTGCTGGTGGGGGAGGAGGGGAGCCTTTGCCTGTAGTTGTGGCTGGATGGTGCCTGCTCACACTGCAGGCTGGTCTCCCCCAACCCCAACCCGAGGCCTGCCGTGCTAACGTTCTCTGGCAGTGCCCTCCCACACCTGCCCAGACACGAAGTGCTGCCAGGTCTTTTGCTTAATCTAGGCAGGCTGACACCTAAAATGAACCATTACAAAGTCCCTTGGCATCTTCCCCCCACATTATCTGCTTGTGCCTCTGAGGTCGAGTGTTAACTGTCTGAGACTGTGAAAAGCCGGAGCCTAGCAAGCTTCACACATCTTGGCCTGTGCACTGTGAGGAGATACCATTGGCCTAGATATTTTTTAAAGCCTTAAATGAGCCTGCAATAGGGTTCTCTATGACAGAACCAATAGGATGGATAGACAGGTGGCTGTCACCGTACACTATGCCCGCGGCCCTTCTCAGTGTTGGCTGGGTTCTTCACGAAGCTTCTGCCATGATGCTGCCTAGGTCTAAGCTAAGTTGAGTGACAGAGCCAAGGCCTGAGTTCTAGCCTGATAATGAGAACTCTTAGTATAACTAAAATTTGCTGCTCCCTGAGTACCAGGCTGTGTTCACCGCTTGCACACAACACTCATTTAATCCTCACAGAAGCCTCCAAGCAACCACTATTATCCCCACTTCATAGGTGAGAAGACAGGCACGGAGAGGCAACCTAGGTCAACGGATGGCAAAAAGTAGAACGAAGATCCAGGCTCCAAAATGATCTGACCTCCGTGCCTCCCTTTCCCTCCGATGCAACAGGAAATCCCAAGCTGAAGAAAATATGCAGTTATGGAGGAATTATTTGGCTTCTTACCCAAGTCTCTCTGCAAACATTGAACAAAATTTCACTCTCTCCTTGTAGTCACACTTGGAAAGACTTGAGCTTCTGACAAGGATTCCAGGGCAGGGGACACATCCCAGGGCTTGCATTGAGACTATTTATTTATTTAGACTGAGACTCAAACTCAGAACTTTGTGCTTGCCAGGCAGGTACTGTGCCACTGAGCTATATCCCTGGCCTGAGACTCAGCATTTAAGGTTGACCAAAGTAATTTCTTTACCCAAACTAAAATTAAATTAAAACTGTAAGAGGTCAGGAAAGTCTATATTCCACTCCAAAGTGCCTTCCCCGTGTGTGTGTGTGTGTGTGTGTGTGTGTGTGTGTGTGTGTAAGTGGTCAGAGATATGCCTTCTTTTTTTTTTTTTTTTGAGACAGGGTCTCACTATGCAGTTCCAGCTGGCTTTGTGCTCACTTTTATAGCCCAGGCTGGTCTCAAACTCACAGAGAGCCTCCTGTCTCAACCTCCTGAGTGCTGGGATTACAGGCGTGCATCACCACGTCTGGTTCTGGGGCCGGCTCAGCGCACCCAGGTATACTGGGCCAAGATGGTGCGCCCAGGGTCTTGGGGCCAGCATGACATGTGGAGCTGGGGATCAAACTCATGACCTTGTACTTGCCAGGTAGGTGCTTATGTCGCTGAGCTCTCTCCCCAGCCTCTGCCTTCCTCTTGATTCTACCCCAAAAGGTAGAAAAGGAGGAGCACAAGGGAATTCTGTAATCCACACGGGTGTGTGAATTTCACAGTGATTGACTTAGGTAGTTCTCCAAGTTGCCCAGTCTTGTCTTAAACTTGTGATCCTCCCACCTCAGCCTCCTGAGTGGTCGGGATTACAGCTGTGTACCATTATCCTGGAATGCACTTCTTTTCTGTTCAAGCTGTGACTTGTCAGAGGTTCCAAACTGACAGCCCTTCAACTGAACCTGGACAGGGTAGCATTTTATTCAGTTCTCATATCATCTACAATTTTTTTGGTTCAACATTCCAAGCTGTAGTGCCTGTAATCCCAGCTTTTGGGAGGCTGTAAACAGGCAGAGCACTATAAGCCTGATCTAATAGTGAGAACATCCTGTAGATCTTTCCCCGCAACAACAACAACAACAAAAGAACTTTCCAAAAATCTCAGAGATTTCCCACAAAAATTCAGTCTTGAAAAATCAGGAGATCTGGTCCCGCTGGACCCACAATGCAGCAAAGTCAGCAGCCGCTCCGCGACATTCACCCCTGTGGACAGGGCCTGTTGCTCTGCTTCTGCTTCTCCTTCTGATGATCTATTCCAAGGACAAGGTCTGTTCTTCGCAACTGAGACAGTCTGGTTGAGAACCTGGAGGCCTGCACCTCCAGGGCTGTTCCCATTCAAACACCCGGTGGCCACTGCCACCCTTCCCCATGCTACATGCAAGAGGCTGAGGCTATCCTTTGGCCTTGTGGGTTGCTGGCCTTTCCTTCCCTGAGCCTAGGAGTTGACACATCCTGGCACACATCTGTGGCCGAGATCTGATTGATGAGAAGCAAAGGTAAATGTTCTGGGGGATTTTCCTTTCCAACCCCAAACAACAGATCCGTCTGTTAAGCTGTTCTTTTTTTTTTTTTTTCTCTCTCTCTCTCTTTTTTTCCCCCAATACCAGGGGTTGAACTCACAACCTTGCATTTGCCAGGAAGGCGCTTATGCCACTGAGCTATATCCCCAGCCCCTCATATCTTTCTGAAAGAAATAATTTTGTCCCTGCTCTACTTTCTTGGAAAATAAATATGATGCTCTACACTTGGCCAGCCCAGGAGGCTTCATAAATCGAATCAAATGTCCAGGATGCAGAGGAAAGGCAAAAAGCAGCTGGATCCTGGATGCCGTTGTAGAGCTGCCGAAACTCCCTGGACTCTGTTTGACTTTGGGCTTCTTAATAAATGGGCAGTGATTACCCAGACGATTTAAACCTCCATGGACTATGCTTACTGCTATTTGCAGTAGCACCCTTGGAGGTCCTTGAAGGTTTATTTAGGACAAGGAGGAGGGGGAGAGACTCATGATCTCACCATTGAGAGCTTTCTGTTGCTTCACATTATTAAAAAATACTGAATACCCATATTCCTTTCCAGGTTGATCTCTAAGATACTCTTTCATCTCCTTGCCAATACCGCCAAGGTCATTTATGTGCGCTTGAGGACACTAGATCAGAAAGAAATGTAGAGCCCTGGCTCTGCTGAACATCTTTTGACATTTTTCTGAAATCTTTGCTAACATGGAGAGAAGAAGATATTTCCATGAATAGAAACTGGAGCTTTTTTGAACATAATTGTTCAATAGATGGAAAACAACTTTAGCGTAAAGGCTCCGTGCATTTCAGACTCTTGGGAGACTTCTGTTGCAGTTGTCATATTATTCAATAATACTGATTTTTTTTTTTTTTAAATAAGCTATTCCAACTGCGGAGATAGTTCAGCAATCTAAGAGCCTGCCTGGCAAGCACAAGGACTCAAGTTTGATCCCTGGTGCCACATGCCTTGCTGGCCCCTCCTTGGATGCTGAACCCCGGGCATATTGGCGCACACCTGTAATCTCAGGACTGGGGAGACCAGACAGGAGGATCACTATGAGTCTGAGCTGTGTACGGAGACCCTGTACCAAATAACTAACTAAATAAATAAATAAATAGTAAGCTAGTAGGCAAAACATTTTTTAACTTTCATTTTCTCAAATGGAAGACTGCAGTGCCCTTCATCCCAGCCCTTGGAAACGAGGCACTCCCTTCCCACCCTGTCCTCAGCTTGCTGGGATGTTGGAGCAGGAAGAGCTGGCTGTGTCTGACCAGCTAGAAGAGAAAAAGACAAGCGCAGGATCTGTGTCACCCGGGAGAACTCAGTCATCTAAAAATAATTAGAATGAGGGGCTGGGGAGATGGTTCAGTAAAATAAGTGCTTCCCTGGCAAGCACAAGGGCCTGAGTTCAATCCCTGGTCCTGCCAAAAAAGAAAAAAGAATTAATTAAAACTATAGCTGCTCAGGATTCTAGAAAGAAGGGATGTGCAAAAGAGGCCAGTCGGCCGAGCTGCTTCCTGTTGGCTTGCCTGGGACATGGGATTGGTGGCTTCTGACGTAGGACTTGAGCTGAGGATGTTGTCCATCACGGTCCCAGTGTCACCAGGGAACTGTGCGGCTCCCCTCCCCCACGAGACAGGAGGTTATCCTGACAAAACATTGAGATTAATTCAAATGGACAAAGTTAGCAAGACCATCAAGTTGAACTGCCACTAGGACATCCCAACAAGTGACCAGACGTAGACCCTTGCGATGTCCATCACCAACATGTTTTAATAAGAGATGAACACACACATTTGGCTTCCTTGCAGTATTTACTTCGAGCAACAGGTCTGTTTCTCTGGCCTTTGGTGGAATCTGCAGCTTCCTCCCTTCTTCTCTAGGTCCCCGCCTTCACCACAGGGATCAGGTTCCTCTAGACCCAACCCTGGGAGTCCATGTAATCTGTGGAGACTGAGCTCCAACCCTTCCTTCCTCTGGGGCCAAGCCCAGCTGGTCTCCTCCCTCCTCCTCTGAAGGGTACACCTTTCACACATCTGTACCTTCCTGCTCCTCCCCAAGGCATCTCTGCCTCGGGCTCTGTTGCTGGAAGTGAGGAGCTGCCTCTAGAAGAACAAGGACAGCTCCTGACAGACAGGGCAGCCCGGAAATGGGGTGCATGGGGAGGGTGGAATTTCACATCAGGGTTCCTGATCCCAGACCCTAACAAGAGCTGGTGACTAACATCACATAGGTTCTTCTGACCATTCAGCCATCTACCTGCCCATGAAATCCAAACCCCTGAAACCTGAGTGAGCCATTTTCCTTCCCCAGAATCACCATTCAGCCTGACCTAGGAGAAGGGGGAAGAGAAGGAGGAGAAGGAGGAGGAGGAGGAGGAGGAGGAGGAGGAGGTGGAGGAGGAGGAGGAGGAAGAGGAGGAACAGGAGGCCAGAAAAGACGTCCTGGCTTCAGAAGGAGAGGCTCCTGCTGCGCTTTCCCTTCCTTTGGGCTTCAGTCCCCAATTTCCAGGTCATGAGTGGGGTAACAGCTCTCCTAGTTCTCCTCAGGGACACAGCTGGATCCTCTGCAGCCAGAGGCAGCAACTCCAGAGAGGGCAAGGTGGGCGCGTGTGAGGCTGAAGTTCAAATGCATGTCTTTCCCACTGCCAGGCAGGCTCTGGGGAGCCAATCAGAAGGCCCTGCTGAGGGAACTGGGAACTCAGGCCATATACCTAGTCACCTGTTATTTCAAAGAAGAAAGCCTGAGGCCCAGAGTGCAGGAGCTACTTACTGAACAGGTCTGGTCTGTGCAAGGCCTGGACTGTATCTACAGAGATTTTCTTTCTTCAGTGGTTGTTCACTGAGAGAGTGACCAGGTGACTCTAAACAGCAGCTGTTTGACAGCCTGCATCCCCACCCCTCCCATGGTGGCAGTTTTTCCATCATGCAGACCCTCAGGTTGTTAGTAAACTTACCCCCGACACACAGAAACCCAGAGCAAATGCCTCCCCACCCCGGTGGACCTCAATGAATATGGGCAAACAGTCACGACACAAAGCCCTGTTGGTCCAGGTCATCCTTGAGTGAGTTCTTGACGTTGGCAGTGACCCACGAGTGGCTCAACTGGGCTCCACCATCTCCCCAGGCTCCCAGCCTTCAAGACCAGCTCAGCCCTCCAGCAGTCACTATTCCTGAGAGCCAGAGTTCGACCTGGCGACGCCGGCACCATGAGCCCCTCGGCCAACCATCTCCTGGCCCCACTCCCGATGACTGGACTCCTGTAGTCCTCGGCCTTTGGTCTCGATGGGCAAAAAGCAGGAGGCCAGAGCAGCCAGGAGGCAGCAGCCGCTGTAAACCGCCAGGGTCAGGTACACAGACGATTCCAACATCACCTGGGGAAGAGAGATACAGGCTGGTAAACTCAGCCTCTCTGGAGCAGACACATCACTGTGCAACATCTCTATGAGTTCAGTTCTTCACCTGCATTTTACAGAGAGGGAAACTGAGGCTCAGAGGGTAGTAGCACACCCAAGCTCATACAGATGATCAGGATAGGGGCTGGGATCTGAACTCGGGTGCATCACGTCAAGAGCCTGGGCTCCTTGTAACCACTTCAGCCCCGTCAAATTCCCAGCTTTAGAACACATGGCAAAGCATGTGGCAGAACCCACTCCCATTTCCTCCTCTGCCTCAGGGGCAGAAGGACAGAGGCATCCGCTAGTAAGAGGAATCAAGGGGGTTCTCTGGAGACACATGGCCCCACGCAGGCACAACCAGCATCAGAAGTGACATATAGTGGTCAATGACACAGAACAGAAATACTTCGGTAAAATATCTGCTGACGTGGAAGAATCTTAAATTCAAGACCAGCCCAGGCAACTTAGTAAGATCCTATCTCAAAAATAAAAAATAAGAAGGGCTGGGGACATAGGTTAATGGTACAGCACCCTGGGTTTGAGCCCCAGTACTATAAACAAACCCATAAGCAAACCACAACCTGGAGTTACACTTATCTGGATTTTTGGGGTGATGAGAATGTTTTGGAACTGGATAGAAATGGTAGATAATGTAACACTGAAAATGTGCTGAATGCCCCTGAAGTGTTGAATTTAAGATGGTCAATTTTAGTTAGGAACTTTTACTTCAATATAAGTAATAAAAACAAAAAAATAATTGGACATTCCAAAAGCAAAAGACTTAATGAGATTCCCTAAACATGGATAGATTTTTTTTTTCTTTTTGGTATGGGCAATCAAATTCATGACTTGCCAGGCAGGTGCTGAGCCGCTGAGCTCTAACCTTGGCGGACAGACGTGTTTCAAAAACACACAGCAAGTTGCAAAATTTTGTGAAGTATCCCTATTTATCCAATTCAAAAAGGCGAGTCTAGGACAGTGATGGTAAACATTTTAGACACTAGTGCCGAAACTCTAACCCAAAACTCACTTATTTATTGCAAAGTGCCAACACTGCCGAGACCTGAATATTGGTGTTTTAGATTAGAAAAAACAATTCATACATTAACATCTTTTGTCTTAAAGTAACAACAAATAACACATATACCATAGGTTTGCCACCACTGGACTAGGACATTTATTTTCATGTGGCCACTTTTTTGGGGGGTGGGGGGACAGTATCCGGCTATGCTGCACAAGCTGGCCTGGAATTCCTGGACTCAAGTGATCTTCCTGCCTCAGCCTCCTAAGTAGCTGGGACTACACATACAAGCCACCACACTCTGCCAGTTCAAATTGCCCTGGGTCAAACCACCTGGCACCCTCAAGGTCTTCTGCATAGGAAACAATGGAACATGACTGGGCTTGTCTGCTTCTCAGCTGTGTGACCTTGGGCACCTCCCTTCACTCTCTGAGCACCGGTATTTTCTAGGGAGGGAGGGAGGGATTCTAGGATGAGAAAAGGTGATACATACATACATACAAAGGGCTCTGCAGAAGGCTGACTTACAGGGCCTGCTTGCTATGCCCCGCCCCGTTCCCCTTCACACTTGGGGTAACACCTACCTGAGCGATGAACGGAGTGATGAGAGCCCCCACTCTTGCCATGCCACTACAGGTGCCCAGGCCCAGCGCCCGCGTCGCAGTGGGGTAGACCTGGAATGGCAGCCGGAAGTGGGGTTTGGGAAATGCAGCCCTCCCTTGTCCCTGACAGTGCAGTGTGCGACTGATGGGTCCAACCCCAGGGGCAGGTTTGATGCCTTTCAGTGCTACTGCCCCCACGAAGGGCTGGCAGACTGGGGCAGAGCGTACTTTCACCCTCAAGGAGGGGAGGGTCCAACAAGACAGAGGATAGGAGGTTGGCTGCCAACAGGATCCTGTCTCCCACATTCTGTTCCTGTGCTATGACTGTGGTCCTCGACAGATCTTTGCAGTCTAAGGTTCAGTAGGGAGTGAGGGACACTATGGTACATTGGTGTCTCCTCTACAATTATGACATAGAGTATAAAATCTGTGTAGTGCCTGGCATGGGCTTGGCACTCATTTCTAAAGTGAATCAGCATTAAAAATAGACTTGAGGTCTAATGCTATGGAGAATTCTCTCATCCCAGCACTGTGGTCACTTACCTTCCATCCCCTCCCCAGTTCCACAGAAGCAAAGGGGGAGATTACTATTCACCCCTCTACATGCATTCTCTACAATACTGTTTGGTTCCCTCCCTCCTCCTCCACCTCCTCCTTCTCCTCCTCCTCCTCCTTCTTCCTCTCCCCCCCCCCCTTTTTCTTCTTTTCTGAGACAGTCTCACTGTGTAGCCCAGGCTGGCCTTAAACTCGTAGCGATCCTCCTCCATCACCCTCCCCAGGGCTGGGATTACAGGTGTGCACTACCATCCCCAGCTCTAGGACCTAGGATTTCATACTGTACATCTCTAGCCTTTTCTTTTTCTTTTTTTTTTTTTTTTAGTTTTGAGACAGGGTCTTGCTATATCACTATGTTGGCCACCCTAGATTTGAGCTTTCAGTTCTTCTGCCTCAGCTTTCCAGAGTGCTGGGATTATAGGCATGTGCTATCATGCACCACAAGAATTTTTTTTTTTCTTTTAGAAAAAGATATGGATTTCTTCCATGTCCACGTTTGGTCTCTTTTTTAGTAGAATATTGTTTTTGGTTGGGTTTTGGGTTTTTGGATCTTTTTGGTTGGTAGGTGGGACTGAACCCTGAAGTGCTGAGCTACCCCCCTTTTTAATTTGATTTTGAGACAACTCTCTCACAAAATTCAGGGCTTTGCAAGCCATGTGGTCTTTGGTTTTTACTGTACAGCCCGAGAGAGTAACAAGACAGGAGTTTCTTGACTTATGATGGGGTCAAATCTTGATAAAACTATTGCATGCTGAAAATATCATAAATCAAAAATGCATTTAATGATCCTAACCTACCAAATGTCATAGTATGGGTTCTACCAAACACAGTGCTTCACATCAGCCTAAAGCTGAAAATCCCTAAATTAGGAATCACCTATGTATGGAAAGATATGGTGTATTCCAATAAAACTTTATTAATAAACCCTGAGATTTGAATTTCACCTGTGTTCTTCCACTAAAAACCCCACACAACTCTCTTCTGAGGCCCTGAGATGCCTCCTTTGATCCAAATGGCTTTGGGTGGTGGCAGGCTCCTCAGGTATCTCCACCCAACTGTGGCTCTGGGCAACAGAGTCATTTGTTGGGTTTCCTAATCCTTGCCCCACACTGCTGTAATTAATCCCTTTGTTCAACTTTTCTTGATTCCCAGCTTCCAGAATGCCAGCTATACTTAAATATGCTTAGATATTGATGTGGGAAACACTCACCGAACCAACCCAGAAGGTTCTAGGAAGGGAAAATGTGGGATCCTTTTGTGTTGGGTTTCAACTCAAGTAACATTTGGATTTTTGACAATGAGTATAGTATTTTATAAAGCAGAGGGAAGAAAAGAAAAGGAAAAAAAAAAAAGGTAGCAAAATGGACTGAAATCACAAAGAGCTTCACAATCACCATTCAGATTCAAGGATAAATTCATTCCCAGCAGCCTAGCTATTTATCTCTGGAAGCAAGGCAGCCCCTCCTTCCCACCCCATGGCTGTTCCCAGACACCCGTCCTACCTCAGGTGTGTAAACATAGGCCGCTTGGAAGCCTCCAGAAATAAACGCTCTTGCAATGAAGAGTAACAGAGTGAGCACATTTCTGGGGAGTGGAGAAAAAGCAGGTGATCTAGGTGGTTTTTTGTTTTTTTCTCTCTGCTTCTTTTAGCAAAATCTTACCTTCCCAGGCAGAATTTATACCCTAGGAATTGGCAAACACATCCACATGCCTGTCCAGGCACAAACATCCCAGCACCATCTCTAAAGGCCTTTCTTTTCTTTTGGTGCCCAGAATTGAACCCCATGTCTTATGCATGCTAGGCAAACATTCCACCACTGAGCTACATCCCAGCCCTTTTAATTTTTTTAGTTTGAGACAAGAGCCCATTAAGTTCTCCAGGTTGGCCTCAAACTTGCAGTCCTCCTACTTGAGCCTCCCAGGGTGCTGGGAGTACAGATTACACATTTTTATATTGTGGGGCTATTGGAGGTTGGAAAAAAATGGAGGAATTCCAAATTAGGATTATGAAACAGGATCTCTTTGAAACAGGATCGATTTCTATTGAATAAATCAATACTAGTAACACATATATAAACAGCTATGTGTTTGGTAGCATTTAGTGTTGATAGCCAAAGTCTACTTTCTTTTCTTTTTTTTTTTTTAATGTATTTGGTACAGGATCTCACTAGGCAGCTTGGATTCCTAGTGATCCTCCTGTTTTCAGCCTCCCCAGTGCTGAGATTATAGGCATGCTCCAATTTGTTCTTCACCTCAGGGGGCACCAGGGACGGAGCCAGAGGGGCATGCGGGACTGGGAAAACCAGTCTACATTTGATGTGACTGGAATAAGCCTGGAGCCAAAGCTCCCTCCTGTGGCTATTCCACCAGAAGTCCTGACATTAAGCTAGCGTCACTGCTTGAGAGGGGCTCGGGGGTCCCTCTGACAGCTCACCTTCCAACACAGATGAACAGTAGGAGACTGCAGAAGGAGAAGATGATGAAGCACAGGGCCATGGTCTTCTTGCGGCCCAGGCGGTCAATGATCCACAGAGTCACAAGGACACCTGACAGGGAGGAGGGGCATGGTGGGCAGCAGTTGATGTGGCTTCTACTGCCCTCCACCCTGCCCTGTACACCCTCAGTCATCCTCTCTCTTTTAGAGTGGCCTAAACCCAGTGACTCATTCAATTTATTTATTTTTATTTTTATTTTTTTGACTCACTCAATTTTAATGCCCAGAACTCAGCCAAAGCTGTGGAGATCGCTTCCCATTAAAGCAATGGATATCACTTTTTTTTTTTTTTTTTTTTTTTTTTAGTACAGGGTTTACAGGGTCTCACTACATAGATTGGACTCCTTCGCCTGTGTTCAGCCTCCTAAGAGCTGGGATTATAGGTGTGTGGCACCATGTCCAGTCTCGGGGGTGGGGGCAGGGCTGGTAGGGCACATGGGAATCAAACCCCAGCTGGCCACGGCGTCTGCCTAAGCAGGAACTTCAATTCACTGAGCTATTTGGCCAGCCCCTACCTTTTTTTTGGATATCACTTTAGATGATAGAAGGCTATGGCCTCTGTCTTGCAGCATTCTCTCTGTCTCTGTCTGCCTCTGTCTCAGTCTGTCTCCGTCTGAGTCTCTGTCTGAGTCTCAGTCTCTGTCTCTGTCTCTGTCTCTCTCTCTGTCTCTGTCTCTGTCTCTGTCTCTCTCTCTGTCTCTGTCTCTGTCTCTGTCTCTCTCTCTGTCTCTCTCTGTCTGTCTCTCTCTCTGTCTCTCTGTCTCTGTCTGTCTCTGTCTGTCTCTGTCTCTGTGTCTGTCTGTCTGTCTCTCTCTCTCTCTCTCTCTCTCTCTCTCTCTCTCTCTCTCTCTGTCCACGGCTCTTCTGGAGCCTGGATGGAGAAGGTGACCCATTAAAGAACTGACAGGTGCCTCTGGCCCACAGCCAGGAAGGAGCTGAGGCCCGCAGTCCAGCTCCAGAGGAAGTGAATCCTACCAACAATCATGAGCGGTGGTGGAAGCAAGCGCCCTGGTTGGGCTTTCTGATGAGACCCTGGGCCAACGCCTTGACTGCAGCTCTGGGGGATCTACTGAAGCAGAGGACCCAGGAAGCTATTCTCAGACTCTTGATCCAGCCACAGCCATTGTAAGATGACAAATGCACTGCATTTTGGGATAACTTGTTACCTGGCAGTAAATAACTAACCCAGACAGGAGAGGAATCATGGGCGGTACTATTCACTCAACTCAGGCAGCAGAACAGCTGCTCTGGGAGTCAGAAACACCCAGGTCCTAAGGCCTCATTTGTCTCTAACTTGCCATGTGATCTCGGACTAGTCCTTTGCCTTCCCTCAGCTTGGTTTCTTCATCTGTTAAATGGAAATAAAAACATAACATTTCCAGGGCCAGTGAGATAGCTCAGTGGTCTAAAGCGCCTGTTTATGCAAGCTTAGACAAGCATGCAGGGACCATGGTTTGATCCCCAGTCCCACATACCATGCCAGCCCCGCCCCCAGGGTGTGCTGAGCTGGCAACAAAAAACAAACAAACAACAACAACAACAAAAAGAACCCATAACATATCTGGGGAAATACTTCTGTATCTATTACTTTGTTTAATCATCAAAACAAGCCTCCAGAGGAAATGCCATGACTGAGCCACTGCTAGGTATTAACTCTCTGACCTTCCCCATTCGCGGTCTTGTTTTTGGATACGAGGGCTTTCGCTGCGATACAGCTCTCAGGCACAGAGATGCGGGTGCTGACAGGGCAAGGTGTGTCGGTCATTTCTGCTAAACTGGAGGCTACCTTTTCATCAAACTTTGCTTTGTTCAGTTGTAAAATGGAAATAATTATATGACTTCACAAGATTCAGTGTTCTATCTTCAAAGTTTCTGATATACAGGAACAACATAGTTTTTTGCTATTTTGCTTTACAGTGCTGGGAATGGAACCCCACACATGCTAGGCAAGTAATTTACTACTTAGCTACATCCCGAGCCCCAGTAAGTAGTGGACATTTTTATTCTGCTAAGCATTGTTTCTTCAAAGACAGAGATACTGTCTCCCTCTGGTGAAAAGAGTAGCTTTGCGCATAGAACAGCATAATAAAAAAGATGTCTCCTATTGGGGCAATGGTTGGACAGGTATCTGGCAGTCCATTACAAAAGATGTGGGTCTCCTAAATGTGGGGCTCCTCGGTGCCATGGTTTGAAATATGGGTTGAGTGCGGCCTCCACAGTTCTGGGGGCTGGGAGCTTGGTCCTCAGTGTGGTAGTGTTAAGAGGTGGGGCCCACTGGGAGGTTGTAACTGGCCCCTCCAGTCTCTCTCTCCCACCACTGTGGTGTCATCCGCCATGAGACCCTCACCAGAACCAGTCCACACTTGTGGAACTGTGAGCCACAGAAACATTTTTTCTTTATAAACCACTCAGCCTTCACTGCTTCATTTTAGTCACGGAAAATGAACTCATACACTCAGCTGTAGTGGTAATCTCTCGCCTGGGTAGCATTCACCTGCGATCTCTTGGGCATCCATCCATGCAGGACTTGAGGGGAGAGAAACCAACACCAAGATCACTACGCACGTTGATCATCGCGCTAGTCTTTGGTCTCTGACCCAGGAGTTTCACGTCTCCTGCTAACAACGCAAAACTGGGCAGCTCATTTGCCTTTAAATAGGGTGGAGTGTCCTGCCCCTTCATAATTCTTAGCAACTTGAAGAAAACAATCCCTGACTCCTATAGAAATGGGATTTGTGTCCAGATAGCAGACACAGCGGTACCATTCACTCAACCCAGGCAGCAGGATAGCTGGGAATTCTGCTTCCGAGCCTCAGCTTCACCCCACGTAGGTTCCTCACCTGGAAACTCAGAGAGGGTGGTCCACAGTAGGTCCATGTAATCCTCCTCACTCAGGTACTCACAGGCCAGGCTGCACTTCGCTTCTACTGCCTTCTTCCGACTGGAGACTGGGGGGAGGGAGGCAGAAGTGTCACATCAACTGGCTCCACACCTTCCTGCTCCCTACACCTTCTTCCTGGCTGGGGCCAAAGAAAGACTGACAGGGGCCAGAAAAAGACTGACAGATTTGGGTTTAGGCTGCAAAGAAAAGCTCCAGCTGCATCTCACTGTAGCCCCTTTTGGACATTAATTAATCTGTGTGCATTTTCATCTATTTAATCTTTTTTCAGTTTACTTCTGGGACTCTTTAGAGGATGGAGAGGGATTTCCCTTGGCCCCTTATAACTGACACCCAAGCAGAGCTTATTTTCTTATACAAGCAATGATTAAAAAGTTATAATTAATGGCCCGGGGAGATAGCTCAGTGATAAAAGTGCCTGCCTAGCAAGTGCAAGGTCCCAAGTTTGATCCCCAGTACCTCAAAGAAAAACAAAACAAAAAAACCCAATTGATATAGATAGTACAGGGGCCGGGGAGATAGCTCAGTAGAATAAGCACTTGCCTGGCAAGTGCAAGAGCCTGAGTTCAATCCCTGGTTCCGCAAAAAAAAAAAAA